AGACCTACATGGACCAATGGATGCAGGAACAAAGCTTAAGGTCACATTCAGGACCCGGGGGGNCTGAGCTGGGAAAAATAGATGGGACGTACAGGGAGATGTTCGAGGCATGGAATGGAGAGGAAAGGACGGTAGCTGCAGTGGGGCATAGGAGGTGGGTTGAAAAGTCGGGAAGGGATATCGTTAGGATAGACAGACTAGGGAAGACATTTTGAGCCCCCTTTGGCAAAGTAGCAATTGGCCATCGGTGATCGGTCCTGTGGGAACAATGCTTCGTCCTCTCGAGGACGCGTGGTCAATGGTTTAACCGCTATAGCATGCAAAACATAAGAGTACGCCTCCCATCGGTGTTTGCGATTGGGATTGGGTTTTCGTCGCTTGGCAACGACGTTTTAAACCAAGCCAATTCACGTCGTGAGCTCGGCATCCAGGTTACCGTTTTTTGTTCTTACCTCTGTTTTTTTTTTTGGCGGTAACCATAATGGCGGTCGAGTGGGTCATATTGTGCGGGGTGGAGAAGCCTCACTCCGCGCAAGGGGGATGATCGCACCACGTTTTGTTANCTGTCTCTTATACACATCTAGATGTGTATAAGAGACAGCCCCCGCTCCGCGCAAGGGGGATGATCGCACCACGTTTTGTTAAAATGGCCAAGCACCCTCGAGGCAGTTACACAGTGCTGATAACTGTATCTGGAAGTGATTNCGGTGAGAAGCCGGCGTGCTCCGTCCCGGCTTTGTAGGGATGCGAGGTCAATGGTCTAATGACTGCGGCATGCACGACTATGAGTGCACCCCCCCCTCGTCGTATAACTAATAACGCACTTCAGAGGGGGGGGTAGGGGGAGAGGGGGGAAAGAGCGAAAGATAGAAGGAGCTGTGGGGTGTTTCTTATTCGACACACCCTCCCCGTAACCCCTCGTTTCTTATGTAGTAGGGCAGCGGTCGCCGCTGTTTCTTATTGAGACATTTCTTATTGTGCGACCCAGCGTGAGCCGTGTTTCTTAACCCTATTTGCTTATTTTTCGTCGAAAAACGAGCATTTATTTCTTAAAACAATACCAGGTACTTCTTAATTGCGGGCGCTAACTGTACCAACACTGCTGTATGCATACTTGTTTCGACCAGGGTAATCAAGGGGGAGCAGTTAGGATGATTCCGCGGCAAAGATAGTCTGTCATTCCCGGCGGTTCCGTTCGTAGAGCGGTCGGTCATCCGGTGCATGGTACATTCTTTGATACGCAGAACAATGCTACGGTAGGGGGGACACTTTTTAAGACATGGGTCACATGCTGTCGCCCGACAAGGTCCATATAAATGCTCGTAACTCTCTCAATTTTTGCATTTCAAGGAAATCAATTCTGCCCAGGCAGCCGCCTGGCGTATATCTCGCGGTTTGCAAAACAGTAAGAACTTTTTCCATTTGTTGAGGCAGTACACACCAGTCCACCAAAACTCTCCATGTGACCGAGGGGGTACCCCTTATCGTAGCATCCCTCCGCACGTCATGTGCAGGGGCGAACAATACTAGGCCAGACGCCAGAAGCAGCGGCAAAAAACACGGCACTGCCAGCTCCAGGTACGCCTCCTCTCATTTTTTCTTTCCATGAGTTGGAGAGAGATAGATAGAGCGAGAAAGAATTGTACGCATGCCCACCGCCACATTCCACCACCGGTAGCACCGTAACACTTGCTTGAGCAAACACTGAGCACCACCAAATAAAGCTAGCGAGAGAGGGAGAGAGAGAGAGGAGCGAAGGAGGGGGCCACAGGTGGGTGTTGGCGAGCTCTTGGAAGGCTTTAGGCAGCTCCTGGAAAGCTAGTCCAGGCAGTGCCTTCGTGTGGAGTGTTGTGCCGCTTGCAGGCTCAGCTGGTGTGTTCAGTGTTCCAACCAGGTTCCAACTGCGGTGATCCACGAGCGAGAGAGAGCGTAGGAAAGAGTACGTACGATGACTTGAGTGATATGTACACAATCGATCGCATTGCACCGGTTCCTCTGGTGGCCGTTGTCTGTATGTTCGTGTTAGGCTGCGGAGTGAGAGTGTTGTTGGCCGATCACTGATGCTCGGTCACTGATCCTCGGTCATGACGCCAACCTATTACACCGACCGGTCACACCGGTCAAACATACATGCATAGGTGTACTGCATGCAGTAGTAACACATCTGTGGTACCGCCACACACATGGAACGGAGAGGAACGGATTCGCCCAGGAAAGGCACAGACCGGGCGTGGGGTAGATACGGTCGCTGCAAAGCAAGAGCCTCGACAGTGGTACCGCTCTGGCACATCTCGAATCCGGTGTCGCTCAATTCAGGAGGGGGTCAGAAGATATTTTTGTTGTTTCTTGCTTCTCGGAAACCTTTCCTTCTCAATCAAACGAGATCACGCCGCCGTCAGCGGCAAGGGATTCATTGCACACAACCCTTCTTGTTACACGACGACAAGCTAAGCCGCCCACGCACCGCGAGAAGGAAGCGACACAGCCCTGGCTACGCTGGACGCGTTCAGAAAAGTTAAAAAGTTGGTGCGCCCTAAAGCTTTAGAAGATCACCCGCTCGCCGCAGATACGTTTTTTTTTCCGGGTTTGAGCGAGAAGCGGACGGTCAAACCACGCCGCGATCATCAGGAATGTATCTGCAATAATCTGCCCCCCCCCCCTCCTCAAGGCTAGATGTGGTAGCAACAAATACAACCTATCGCATGACCCGGGCAGTGAGAGAAAGAAGGTGGAGGGGTGCTGCGAGCATCCCTATAGTGCCCAGCGGCTGTTGGGAACTTCTGTTCTGATATTTTTTCGACTCTTTTCAAATCGCAAAATCGCATTCATTTTATCATACAATGCTCTGTGTCCGTCCAAGGAGACTCTTTCATTTCCTTTTCTTGTGACGTATCCAAATATCTCTCCGTTGGTTGGAAAATCGTAGCTTTGCGCAGCAGCGACACACGCGCTCTCCAGGGCCGTGACAGAGAGCACGATCATCTCTATCTATTCACACGTAGACTTCATTTTCTCCCTCTGCCGATGTGTGATCCCACAGCAGTATCCGAAGCTCCCTTTTTGCATTTGACCTTCGAAATGTGTCTAAACTCTAGTGTTGTGTTCGTTCGCACACGAGTTGTTCGCGTTTCTTGTGTCACCGCAAGGGCAGTGGGGTTCGTATACTATGTGGGCGCGCCGGACAGCGTTTCACCTTATTTTATTCACATCGCGACTATCTGTCGCTTCAGCATACAATTTACGTTGTTGACTGCGGTGTGATGCAGCACTCACTCCTGGTGTGTACAGGGCGTGTGTGTGTCGCGCTTTGTCCCGCACGTCAAACGAACCACGGTTGGTGCATGCGCGCACCAGACCGCGTGCCGCCCAGTTCGCGGCCGCTAGGCCGTGCTTTGGCCGTGGGTGAGGGTTGGGGTTAGGGTTAGGGTTAGGGTAGATGCGGGGTGAGCAACCTAGCCTTGCTCGCGTGAAGAACCTAGCCTTGCTACGTTCAACATCGGTCAGTCATAAAGAGTTACTATCAAAGTGCAACCAAGGCTCACCAGATCACCAGATCACCGCCCTAAGCTGCAGTTAGCGCCCGCAAGCGCTTATTTCAGGTCCAGCCTTGAATTCTTATTGTGGCCTATAAACTCAGCGTATGTATGTCGTTCAATTTCTTATGTCAAGTTTCTTGTTTTCGTGCCGCCAAATCCTGCTGAAATTTCTTCAGTCGGCAATTTCTTATTTTCTCTGCTCACGAGAGCTGGCGGAGAGCACATCAAAACCGTACAGCAGACAGCATATCGTGGTTCCCAGCCTGTCTGGTGTGCTTATGTAGTAGGGCGCTGTCGCTGAGACATTTCTTGTTGTGTGACCAAGCGTGAGCCGTGTTTCTTAACCCTATTTTCTTATTTTTCGTTGGAAAAATGAGCCTTTGTTAATCTATGTAATCTTTCTTTATTGCGGGCGCTAACTGTGTGTCAGGGTACACAACGGGTCGTTTTTGGAAAAATTGGTGGACGTGTCGGAACACCTCGTGCACCAACAACGTATTAACACCTAGACTAGAGTATGTCTTGTAGCCACGTTGCACCAACCTACCCTCTGTGGGCCACAGGAGGGACCTAAAAAATGCAGCATGTGAGCGGTTACGTGGAAAACGGCGCAAATCACGTATGGTAGTGTACCCACCAGTGTATGTGCGACTTCTGTAGAAACAATTTGGATATTGAATCACAATACAGGAAGCCGGAGCTAATACATCGACCGGAATTTGGCGTCGATTTCCGAAATCGATCCATACATGGAAGTGGATTTTTTTCGTCAACCTTTCGGCCATGTCTGGAGACCGGAATGCCCTTGTGTCCTTTGTCTCTATCAACCATGGTTTCACCGAGCGTGTGGGACGCGGACAATGTTTTGGGCGGGTGTGGGAAGCGTCCTCCTTTATTTTCGTTTTTGTTTTATTTTGATCGGTTTCCGAGGGGTTTTTCTCGAACGGTCGGTGCGATACCTGTTCTTTTCTATCATTTTGTTTTCTTTTTCCGAGTGGTTTGTACCCTAATTTCGTTTTGTTTTGTTTTGTTTCCCCGCGGCGGCGTATGTGCCGGGATTTGAGACCACGGGCTCCCCATTTTTTGTGGACTATTGAGCTAATGTGAGAAACAACAAGTGTTCGTTCCACGAGAAAATAGAGCAGAACAATCCAAACCGCAACCAGCACAACTTTAGCCTTTGCTCCATCGGCCGTTTTGTTTGTACGGAGAATAAGAAGGTGAAACTACTTGAAATTAGTATGGAAATAAAATTTGTGCATCTAAATCGATAATGAAACGGCCGATGGACCAAAGGCGTAGCACAACTGCTGTGGTTTCACCGAGCCCGGGGTCTCGGTATTCATGTGCCGCGCTTCTGTTCATGTACAGACCGGCTCATTGTGACATGTTTTGTGCTTCTGTCAGGCCGTTTTCTTTTCAACTCGAGTATTAAATGAACGGGAATGTATAAAATATGAGTACATAGTACGTACGAGACTTTTTTCTATTGATGGGGGCATTTTGACCCCGGGTGCGCGCGGAAGCAGCCTCGGAGCGCTTGAAAACTTGAATAAATAATACTTCGAAGCATACATAACAATTACGATAACATGGTTGGTGAACGGCATCTACGGGATTCGTGTCGTTCCGACCCCATGGTCAACTATTTACAGAAGCCGCAACTATTCTATCAGGATTTTTTTTTCTTTTTTCTCCCATCATTGGACTCTGTCGTCTGCCCCTCTGGCCCCTACTCTCCACTTCTACTAGCTAGACGACCCAACCGGGGTCACATGGGAGGGGGGGGGCTGGACCCCCTCCTGCGGTTCCTGCCTGAGGTATTTTTATCGCGAGAAGGGTACAGCGATCCCTTCCCTCGCGACTTACGAAGTCGATTATGGTTTACTAACAACGAACTTTGCAACGCATCGCTTTCATCCTAGACCAGGATTTATTTAGTGAGCAAAAATCTCACTCTGCAGGGACTCGAACCCATGACCTGGCCCTTAGCAGGCTCCGAGGTTACCCACTAGACCACCGGGGCGACCGGATACATATTCAGTGCTAACTACAACGAATAATAGGAGTGCATGTTGTTTTGTTGTTGTTTCGCACATTAGCTCTTTAGTCCACAAAAAATGGGGAGCCCGTGGTCTCAAAACCCGCACATACGACGCCGCGGGGAAACAAAACAAAAATAGGGTACAAACCACTCGGAAAAAGAAAACAAAATGACAGAAAGAAAATAACAGGTACCGCACCGACCGTTCGAAAAAAGAGCCCTCGGACACCGATCAAAACAAAACAACAAAAATAAAGAGGACGCTTCCCACACCCGCCTAAAGAAAAATCAAAGGGTAACGTACCAGCACCAAGCACTACGCACCAGGGCATGAGAGTAACGGAGCAAACAGGACAACGAGGCGGCAGATGATGTAGACTATTGTTTTTTTTTCGTCTTCTTCTGTAGGACGGAAACGACCGCGCCAAAAAATCTGGTGCAATAGACTATAAAGTTCCCAGCGCACATCAATCATGGTCCCACCTTGTTTGTCTTGATGGTGAAAGGTTAGGGCGAGGGTTTTATTGTCGTGGTGGGTGTCTTGGATGCACGTAGTAGCTGGACTGCAGCTGTTCTGCCAGCAACAGCGTGTCTACCTCCAGAGAGAACGACGTATATGTATGTATGTTCAACACTGGGGGGTTTAATCTTTTTCAGAGATGTGTGCAGGCCCGCGCATCAAGATACATTTCTCATTTATCAGTCTAGTCTAGGCGATTAGAATCATCGGGGGGTCAGTCGCCAAACTTCTCTTCCCTGCAGGAGACGCCGACGCCCCCCCTTGTTCAGCCCACCGAAGAAAGCAAGGCAACACCAAGGACTCGCAACACCAAGCAGTCTCACTGCTGCGCGTATCTCGCAAACGCAAGGCTCTATATGGGCTGAGGAGGAGGAGGCGCGGAGAAATCCTCTCTGTGAAATGAAGATAGCGTTACCACTACAGCAGCAGTGCTATGCAAACGGAATTTCAAAGACTTGAGTTCCCCTTCCGGTCCTTCGTCCAACCAAGTGTTGATGATGCTCTCTAGCTGGCCGAAGACCAACGACAGCATCTCTGGGGTTCCGGCAGATGCTTGTTTTTACGCTTGCCTGATCTCGAGCTATGAAGTACCTCGCGGGCTGTATTCCGTTGTTCAGAAAACCACTATCCACCCCCCCCCCAAAAATGGAGGCAACGATTTTCACTTTTTGAAACACGTCGTTAGCATAGGTATTATCCATCCCTAACGGCGCCCGTGTGTTGTTATCGTTTCTCGGCACTGTGCTTCTTTTTCTTCTCTTAATGAGACGCAGGGCAGCTAACTGCCAGCGGCAGGCCGACTGGGCGCCAGGGTTGTCGGTTTTTGGGTGGGCGGTTGCTTCGATCGTAGCTGGGCTCGATCCGCGCAGCTGCAAGCTTTTCGCTCCTTGGGCCTGAAAATTTTACTAGCCACACGCATCGATTCGTTGTCGTCGCTGCAGCAGCATGCCGTCTCCAGCTTTCGGCCTGTTCTTCGAGATCTTCTCGGAAGGGGTGGTATTCACCGTGGCCCTCATCACCTCCGCGTGCTTCGGGGAGAGGTGCTGGAAGCGCTCGGCGCCGCTGAACATCACCGGCCTCGCCGCGAGCCTCATCGCCGTCGCCTACTCGGTGTTTGGTGAGTTAGTCGTTTGCGCGAGGACCGCTGTGCACCCTGTAAGGCCTCCTTGTCCACGAAAGCGAGGTTTTGCTGCCTGAGGGCAAGGAACATGCCTGGTTTTTTCTTCAGCGAGCCTCGTATCCCCCCCCCCCCCCCCCCCCCCCCCCCCCCCCCCCCCCCCCCCCCCCCCCC